AAAACAGACGTCAAAAAGTATGAAGCAGACAGCAAAAACAGCAAAGCAGACAACAAAATCAGTAAAAGTCTGCTGTCTGCCTCAAGTGCTCCGATATCTACCAGCAACTTAAATAGAAAAATGAAACGTCATATTCTTTAAGACGAAACAATTGCGTGATGATGATTTGACTATAATGTTTATCAATAGTATTTAAAAATTGCAAATAGAGATAAACAAAAGTTTATCTAGTATTTGATGTTTAAGTGTATTTAGCCTGATTGGATTCAGTATATTATTCCATTATGTGGAGAAATATTGAAAGATGTTTATAAAAATGCCTTTAAAACTGTGTACTACAATATATATTTTAAATTGTTACAAGTTCCGTCTACGAATGCTATTGTATTTAATACAGTTTATATAGAATCAAAATTGTTGCTGGTGACACAATTATTTTTAAAAACTTGGCGATCATGTCCCAGCCAGTACGCAACACATACATCATTTTGTGATGTCGACTTAGAGATAATGGACTTCGGAAACGAAAACGACGTCCAAAAATGTACTTACGCCATGGTGGCCGCCATTTTCGCGCTTAGATCCACAGGGAGATGAATAAGTAATAATATCATTCTCCATAGCATCCCCTCTTCCAAGTTACGGTCCTCCGTTGCCCTCCTAATGGCCTCATTCAATGATCTTCTAGGACGTCCTTTTTGTCTTTTTCCAGGAGGTGACCAGCTGTAGAAACGATAGGGCCATCTTTGATGTTCCATGCGCAGCAGGTGTCCAAACCACTTAAGGCCCCTCTGCTCGACTCTGATCCACTATTGTCTATGTGGCATCCATCCTGACTCTTGTTTCCTCGTTCTTAATTCCTGCCCAGTCTGGATCTCGCACTGCGTCTCAAGTAGTCCATTTCGAGTGCCTTCAAAGCTCGCTTTTGTTCAGCTTTTTACGTCCAAGCTTCACACCCATATAGTACTACATAAGTAATAATTGCAGCTGATAATTTCTATTTTTTTTAGTTCAATTTCGTTTTTTCTTGAAACTTAACAGACCGCTTAGTGATATTTATATTTTTTATAAATGTTTTGACTACGCCTATGGTGTATGTGGTGGTATCATACTAATTAATTACGAAAAAAACGTATTAAAATGTTAACAAAAGGTACAAAACTAGTATGGACGTATAGCACATATCAGGTAAATATAATATCAGAAAAATACTTATTGAATTCAATAAAAAAAAGCTAAAAAGTTGGAGTGGGCTGTTTATTTCCCTATAAAACGTAACAGAACTCCTGGCTCTTTCTTTATACAAGTTTATACAAATTTCACTACACACAACCAACTATTACAAATCGCTAAAATTGTCGCTGATGACCAGCTGATGACTCATTCGTTACGTCCAAAAAAATGGCGTCTAATGTCACAAATTCTGCTGCAGCCAGTATATAGGCGTTACATATCCTTGCATTCTTTAGTCACTGGTTATAACTCACTTTGACAAAAGCCAGTATCTGAGACGGTTTCACAGAGTTTAGTTCTCCGTCTTCGATATCTGTCGTACCAAACTTCAAGGCACGAATGGTTGTTATCTCGGCGCACTCAGTGATGAGGTGTTCTGGTGTTTTCCCATTTTCCCCACAGAATCTGCATTCGCCGTTGTTTCTTAGCTTCTATAACCCAGAGTAGGAGGTAGGAGGACTTTATTACCTTAAGCCTAATTTGTTCAGCTTCTCTAGGCATTCTTTGACCAACTTCGAATTGATGGTTACTGAGTTGATCGCTTTTAATGCTGTTGACTATCGAATAAGATGGTCATTTCTTGTTTCCGATTGTTCCTATCTAAAATGAGTTGTTTGCATCTTTCGATAGAGTAGATTTCTGCCTGAAGGATGCTGGGGTAGGTTTTTTTGAGATCGGTTTGGCTTGTGTTCATTTTTCAGTGAGCTAAAGCATGATCAAAACTTCTGCGCATGTTTATGCTCAATCTCCATACCTCTACCCTCTATAATATGTCTGAATCGACAGTATTTTTGTTAAATTTACATTCGATTTTCCATAGAAATAAATGACTGAAAATACGTAGTAATACGTAATATATAGAAAATCTCTATCCGCCTAGCATTATTCTAATATTTAATATGCATGATCTCCAATTCATAATGTATGACGTTACAATGATAATTGTTTTGTTTGTATAATCTTCATTATGGAACGTATTAACGTATTATAGTAGGGGAGCCCAAGATGCTAAATGGGGATTAACTCGAGCGTGGTGGGGCTTATTGATTTTGAAAATTAGATTCTAAAAAGAAAAAAAAAGGTTATATGCCCTTTTGCTGGTAGGGAGAGCCTGCATAGGATTTTGAAAATAATAGTCACAAAGAAGTACTCGGGCGTTTCAATTCCAGGTATTAATAGTGATAGGTAGATAAAACACTATATAGAGAGATAACACAATAAATCACCACAACACACCAAAACACTTTACTTTTGCTAACTAAACTGGTAGTTAAGTTGTAATCATCTGCTGGTGATGCTAACATGGTTAGCGAAACGCGCGTCCACTGCAAGAGTAAAGTGTTTTGGTGTATTGTGGTGAATAAATGATTTATTTTGTCGCTCTTATGGCGGAATTACATTACTATCACGTCACGTGAATTCACGTGAACACACATGAGCAGTAAATTCGATGAGACCGATTATTTGCATTTATTTTATCAACCCATCAAGGGTGAACACATTATTGTCACTTGGCGGATTCATGTAAAATCACGTGATATTGCGAGTTGTTTCACGCTCAAATATTCTGTTTTAACATCAATTTCGTGAGGCGTGAAAACGTGAGGGTTGGAAAATGGAAGAAATTGTACCCATGTGTAGAATTTGACCCATTGCCTAGTTTTAATATTATCAGCAACCACAAGTAAACCACCTGCGTTTTCTAAATCTTCTTCAAACTCAGAAGATGAAGATGAAGAACTATTTATTTGATTCATTATTACGTTAAGTATAGGACCTAAGTTGTTAAACTTGAGAAGAACGCTGAACTAACGAAAAATGGCTTTCGGTTCATAATAAAATGCGCATAATATGAAAGAACGACGTGATACTAATGTGTTTCCTTTAAACCACACGTGAACTCACTTTTACTGTGATAGCATATGAACTCACGTGACGTGACAGTAATGTAATTCCACCTTTAAGATATCTCAAAATCCCCGCTCGGGCTCCCTTACTATAACGTATTATACATGTGTATGTTCAATTGAAACTAAGTATGGGACTTTACAGAGTTTTTTTACGCAAGACTTGGTTCCATTCGTATTTGTTTCACTTGCAATTTTTAGAATCGCGTTTTACGATTTGGTGATCATTACTTCATTAATGTTTATTTATTTGTTGCATAATAAAATAAACGAGCATTACGTTGCATTTCGGCGTGTACCGAATTCATTATCATTACGAGGTGTAGAAAAAATCAGAGTTTTCTATATTTGATTTATTTTTTGGCAGTGGTTTTGATCGAATGCATTCCGGGCTTTTAACAAGTTCTAATGACTATGAACATGTTCCAAGGCATTATTATGAATACTCCGTTTTTTTTCTGACACGTGGTTCGTCAGGAATATTTCTGTTAGAAATCATAATTAGATTCTTGAATTGACAGCTTTGTTGAAACCCCAAGTATAGTAAAATAAATTCGGTCTGTATATATGAAATTATAAGATTTATATTTTATAGGATCCAGGGTGATTGATTCTTATACAGGGTCTCCTAGAAATAAGTGCAAGTATTTTAACTGGAAGTATATTTCGGCCTCAGAAACACGCCTACGAATTTTTTTTAGTTTTAAGTTAAAAAACATAATTTCTTGATAATATGGCAACATAGGTAGTAGGTAGTAGATTTAATTTACATGAAAGAAAATTCGGAAAAGATCAAGTGGTTCTCAAAATTTAAGCAAAAAAGCATTTTTTGTTCCAATTTTCAAAGTAAAATAACTTGATTATTTTGGACTTATTTGAAAAATGGTAAAGAAAAAAAATGTTTTTTTTTAACCAGATATATCACCCCTTAAAATACTTGCACTTATTTGTGGGACACCCTGTATATCCAAAAAGGACTTATTTTTATACAAAGTCATCTTGAGAAGTCCAGTAATTATTTTATAACGTTGAATCTACTAGTTTTATAGAACTCTTATACAGTATGTATAAAATAAAAATTTTGTTATTGTATAAATGTTTTCCAGTAAAATATGTAAGGTAGGAGACACGTGACATTTAGTAGAAACAAATTAATGTTTTTGTACACATATGTAGGTTAGGTAAATATTTTATTTGCTAATGGTTATGTTGATGGTCGGAAAACCAAAACAACAATACCCGGGAAAACACTCGTACATACCGCAAAGTAATCTTATTTTGTCTGAAACCGGTGATTATTGCTGAAGTTAATGGTAAACAGAGATATACAGAGCAATATCTCTTGGGAATAAGTACGTAATTATCTACATAACACAGAGGATTCATATTATATTGTTCAAAAATCTTGAGACACCCGATATACTTTGCGGTCTAGTGACACTAATTGATAATTTGTCTTATATAACCTTCTAAATTATGCCTCTGGATTAAACAGTACCTGAAATAAGTACATATACCGGGTAGACTAAAAAAAACGACAATTTTTATCCTATACGTAATGTACCGTGGTATTAAGTTATGACGCTCTAATGGCTCTAACATAAATCAATATGAAGAATTATTATTATACAATGAACAATATATCTTTTTTCTGTAAAAATAACGATTTTTTAAATAAATTACTCTAGTGACCTCGACCTCATTGTCTTGGTATCGTATCTCTGAGACGCCTAGTAGATTTTTAAAATAATAAACACGAAAGCTATAAAATTATCTTGTACGTATTATGAAAATACCCAGTACAAATAGAATATCATAATTAAAAAACCTTTATTGATACTAAATTATTTCAAATTTCAGGTAACCGAGTTGTTGATACCTGCGAAAATATTCGTGGTAAGTGTGTAAAAACAATTAAATACAAATTTTAACGTACATATCTTTTTAAAATGGCACGTTGAAATTTTAAGCAAAATCAAATCAATTTTTGACATACTAAAATTGAAAAAAATTGGCGTTTTATTGGAAATAGCCTCTTAAAAGTGTACAATATCATTCGTACGCCTTGGTAAAATAATGTCACACAGAAGTAGAACAAGTTTAATATATTTAATGTGCATGTTCGTTAAAAATATTCAAATAATCTAAACATATAGTCAAATGAATGATTAGTCATGCAAACTGGTTTGATTTTATCAATAATTGTTATTAATTATTAATAAAAATAAATATTTTAACGCCGACTTTCTTCAACAGGTGAATATTTTTATTTTTATAATAAAAAATGAAGCAAATTAAAGCATGAGTTTTTATTCTATACAAGCAGACAATATTTTATCAAGTATTGTGATAAGTCGAATCTTAATTTTATCTGTTAAGATAATACATTTTTGGGTTACTTCTTCCAGGAAAATAATAAAAAAACTATTTTCTGTTTAAAATATGTTCATGTTTAGATTCATTAATAAATGCCAAGAACATTTTTTCAACATACTTGAAGACAGTTAAATGCATTACATGCAGATAGCACTCTTGCTATATGTATGTCTATTTTGTTTATGTACAGTGTTTTTACTATTTCATGGCCATGTTTGACTACGGTATTTATGATACAGTCATGTTGATTATTGTAATAAAAATAATAATGCTTAGATTTGTTTTAAATAAATTCCATATGCTAATTAATTATTGGATGTTATGGTTTGATGAGCATAACTCTTGTTCGTCGTGTATACAGGGTGAGTCGTCAGAAGGAAGTTCATTACTTTGTTTTGAGACTTATGAAAATAAAATAGAATAGTTTTGAGGGTGCGAACTTTGAAAACTAGTAAAAGATGGTCAAAATGAATAATTTTTCGATTTTTTGCATACACACATATTTATAGTCATGAAAATTGGCGATTTTTGCCAAGTCACGTTATTGTGACGAAGCTACTGTTATTTACTAATTAGATGCTGTAGAACACGAAAATATACCCCGTTTTGCTTGACATTATAATATCTACAACAGAATTACCAGGAAAGGCACAAATTTTTATTTTTGTCCATAAGAATAAAGTCTCAAATTTCTTTCATTTCGTCTTCTTATAAAAATATCTCACAATTTCATAATTTTATAGCTAATACTACCATACCAGCGAAATTTTGTTGATTATGTTATCAATTTCGATGAAACTATGTTTGTTTATAAGCTGATAACGGGTTAACTTTTTTGGTTCTCAGATCACGTATAATTTTACTAAACCAAGAAAAATGCAGAAAAAGAAATGTGTTTATTAATTTTACTCAATTATAAAATGAAAATGTGAGAGGTGAACAAAATTTGCCTAAAAAAAACTATTTCAGTATCCTGGAAACTCATTAAATATTAAATGAAATTTCAAGCCTGCAGCAATACTAATCTAAAGTTTGAAAATGGCAAATCTAAATCTTCCAGAGAGTTCCTCGGAAAAAAAATATACCTAGAAAATATTCCAGAAAAAAAAACTCTTTTAACGTCTATCAAAAACATAACATTTGGTACGGTATTTTTACCAGCATATTCTGCGGATAAGAACGTTTAGGAAATACCATTTTAAATATTAACAAGGACGTGTAATTAACAAATCTTGGATTACTTAATCCACAAAAGGGTTTAGGGAAATAATTTTACCTCTGCGAATACGGGTCACGTCAGGCAACAAAAAACGGCCAATTTCAATGTGGAAACGAATGAAATATTAAAACTATGTTTAAACCTGCATTAATATTAATCTGAAGTTTAAAACGGCGCGCCTGGATAAACAGGATCTGGGCTCATTCTATCCCGCAGAGAAATGGGTTGGAATTAAAATTAATGATGTTTCAAACTTAACTAAAAGGTATAATGAAATCTCCTTTTTTAGATCTTTGATTAAAGATCTTACTTTAGCATTATAGCCCTGGCTTATTGAACCCCAGTTCGTCCTCAATTTTTAAAATGTAAACTTAAAAAAATTAAATCATATTTCTCTGTTATTTATTTTTTATATAATTAGATAATTTTAAAATCTCATTATTTGAAATAAGCATAGTTAAATTTCGCATTACCGTTTATACAAATTCAAATTAATTGGCAATTATATTATATTGAAATGATAAATTGACGTATAGAACGAAAAGGCTTGTAATTAACACGTTACAATTGGTGTCCCATTATATCATTCTCTTTAGATGTCAAATCTTTGTCAGGAAATTGAATATCGCTATGCAGAATATAATTTTATGGATTAGGCTCTATCAGAATCATTTATACGGAACCGACAATATATAATAAATATACGTATATCCAGAGACTATAGCTATATATATATATAGAAATAGAAAGAGGATAATTCATTTATGTCAGTAAATGCAAATAATTATACAGTAACGACAGAAAATTACGATAATTTACTACATATTTAAAAAGTTTTTAATGTATTTTGACCCAAAGTGTCTTTAATATTTAGAATTATATCGTTTCTGTTGAGAGTTATGAAAAAATGTTGAGTAGAAAAGCTTCTGGGAAGGTAATAATGATACAAAATTTATTTTTTTAGATTATACCGGGTGCGTCTCGAGAGTGGCTCATCCCTATAACTTTTTATTTTGTCAGATAAAAAAACGATATTTGGTATGTTAGTATATGACATAAATAAGGATTGATTGGACGTATTCAATTTTTTTTTGGTCATTTTTGTTTCCCCGGAAATGACTACAACTTTTGATTTTTAAATGGTACCCTCGGTATATTTCTACTTTATTTGATAGAAAATGACTCTGAATAGAATGACATATCATATGTCAATTTTTGACATTTTCGCTTAAAAAAAAATATTTTAAATTTAAATCTAGAATGTGTGGCATGTGTAGTGTTAAAAACACTAATTTTTAATCAAGGGGCCTAGGAAAAATAGGTTTTGTCCTGACCGGTTAAAAGATGCCCAAATCGTATTTTTAATCATATCTCATTTTTTTCAAATGTAATATAAGGGTTGCTCATTAGCATATTTGCAAAAAGCATTATTTTATGAATAATTTTGTACCACATACTTGGTATTTCGAGTAAAATTGTCGTTATGAATCACATGTTACAATTTTAAATAAACCATATGCGAATATGTCAAAAGTTGACATATGATATGTCATTCCATTCAGAGTGTAATCGAATACAGTAGAAATATACCGACGGTGTTATTTAAAAATCAAAAGTTGTAGTCATTTCCGGTGAAATATGAAGTAACCAAAAACAATTGAATACATCTACATACATTTTGAATACATATACTATACATTTTTTTATCTGAAAAAATAAAAAAGTTATAGGGGGTGAACCACTTTTGAGACGCACCCAGTATAGGATGCTTGAAAAATTGTGGCGGATATAACATGTTTCTTTTAAATGCAATAACCTATTTCTTATTTTATTTTTAGGTGCTGAAAATTGTATAACTTTTTTTTATATACCGGGTGTTTCAAAAATCATGTGCTATCTCTCGTGGGGAGATTCCTCACTTATAAATATGATTATTCATTTTTCATATCAATGTAGGTCCGATTCTGCTTTTTTTGTTAAAAGGGAGCTAAAATCTTCATTTTACTTCGATTTATTATAATTTTCTTCCAAGTGTTTTTAGAGATTCGAATTAAATTTTGAGGGTAAACGTTACTATAAGTGCTACATATTTTAATGAAAATTTCACACCTCTACTTTTCAACCAATAACATGCTTTAATGTTGACTAGTTACCATGGCAACTGAAAAAATTTCCGGAAATTTTTTCGAGGCGCCACGAAACTTTAGTGGACATTTTTTGACAGTTGAAAAGGTAAACATAAGATCTACAATCATAATGTGAATGAACTACAATGTCTATATATTGAAATATTACCCATTTGAGTATTAGCATTTGATGTAACTAAGGTTGGTAATATTTTTTATTTAAGGAAATATGTTAGATATACCTACATATGAATTTCTTCGAAATTGCCATGTTCTAAAAATATAGTTCTGCCGCCTTTATTTAACTAAAGCTGGTATTTTCGGGTGTTATCTGGTTTTATATTTTCAATTTCTTCTTTAATGACTTGTTGGTTTACTTTTTCCAAATCATGACATTTTATACACTTTTACTCTACGTACAGACGTTTTAAAACTAGTAATAGCTTAATGACAGAATCGCAAACAAAAATGACAAAACACATAATATGTCAAAAACATCAATACCTTGGCCAACTTAACAAATTGAAATTATTTTAAAATGTCATGTTGGATTAATATTTTTTTTTTCAAATTTAGGTGTGAAATTTTCTTACCAGATACCACGCAAGCTTAAATTATTCCTGAATTTTCTTTCGGGCACGAATATTTTAGGAAAATTATCCCTCGTCTTCGACTCGGGATAATTTTCAAAATATTCGTGCCCTCAAAAAAATTTCCGAAAATAATTTAAGCTCTTGTGATATTATAAGTGATAAAAGTGTTGACAGATTCATCGGGAACGTGCATCTTTGGGATATCACTGAAATATTTTTCTAAAAAAAAACATATGCGCCACTGAGCTTTTTCTCTTATTAGCAAAATTGTGTAGGCCATTTAATTCCGATTGATAGTTGTATCTTGATATTTTGTCACGATCTCCTGAGATAAACGCAATTTTATTAATCATAATCATAATTAATAAATTATTTCTTTAATCTATTTTCTTATTAAATTTTATTACAATTTACAACACTGATATTCAGTGCTACCTACAGGAAGTTCATGAAGAAAATAATGGTACTTAAGATAATTACAAAAGACCTATTTTTTAACATCTTGTAACTTTAAAACTGCATTTCCGCGCCTATATTTATAGATACTACTTTTATATATTTTTTGATGAGGAATCAACGAGT